TGTTATATAACCTTTTTACATTTCTTAATTTTAATTTTAATTTTTTTTTTGAGACAGAGTCTCACTCTGTCACCCAGGCTGGAGTGCGGTGGCACGATCTTGGCTCACTGCAACCTCTGCCTCCCAGGCTCAAGCCATTCTTGTGCTTCAGCCTCCCGAGTAGCTGGGTACTACAGGTGACTGCCACCATGCCCGACTGATTTTTAAATTATTAGTAGAGACAGGGTTTTGCCATGTTGGCCAGGCTGGTCTCGAACTCCTGACTTCATGTGATCCAACTGACTCGGCCTCCCAAAGTGCTGGGATTACAGGCGTGAGTCACCATGCTTGGCCTGTATTGTTATATAAAATGTTAACATTTAGGGAGTCTGAGTATATGGAAATTCTTTGTGCTATATTTACAACTCTTTTCTTTTTTTAAAAAAAATATTGAGGCCAGGCATGTCACACCTGTAATCCCAGCACTTTGGGAGGCCGAGGCGGATGAATCACCTTAGGTCAGGAGTTTTAGACCAGCCTGACAAACATGGTGAAACCTCGTCTCTAGTAAAAATACAAAAATTAGCCAGGCATAGTGGTGTGTGCTGTAATCTCAGCTACTCAGGAGGCTGAGGCACGAGAATCACTTGAACCTGGGAGGCGGAGGTTGCAGTGAGCTGAGATCGCACCGTTGAACTACAGCCTGGGCAAGAAGAGAGAAACCCTGTCTCAAAAAAAAAAATTCATTTATTTTTATGGAGACAGGGTCTTGCTATGTTGCCCACGCTGGTCTTGAACTCTCAGCCTCAAACAATCCTCCTGCCTTGGCTTCACAAAATACTGGGATTACAGACATAAGCCACTGTGCCCCACCTATATTTGAAACTTTTTTGTTTCGAAGTATTTCAATTTAATTAAAAAAAATTTTTTTTGTTATTGCATTTTAGGTTTTGGGGTACATGTGAAGAACATGCAAGATTGTTGCATAGATACAAACATGGCAGTGTGATTTGCTGCCTTCCTCCCCATCACCTATATCTGGCATTTCTCCCCATGCTATCCCTCCCCAACTCCTCACCCCCCACTGTCCCTCCCCTATTTCCCCCCGACAGACCCCAGTGTGTGATGCTCCCCTCCCTATGTCCATGTGTTCTCATTGTTCAACACCTGCCTATGAGTGAGAACATGTGCGTTTGATTTTCTGTTCTTGCATCAGTTTGCTGAGAATTATGGTTTCTAGGTTCATCCATGTCCCTACAAAGGACACGAACTCATCGTTTTTGATGGCTGCATAATATTCTGTGGTGTATATGTGCCACATTTTCCCTGTCCAGTCTATCATCAATGGGCATTTGGGTTGGTTCCAGGTCTTTGCTATTGTAGACAGTGCTGCAATGAACATTCGTGTGCATGTGTCCTTATAGGAGAATGATTTATAATCCTTTGGATATATACCCAGTAATGGGATTGCTGGGTCAAATGGAATTTCTATTTCTAGGTCCTTGAGGAATCACCACACTGTCTTCCACAATGGTTGAACTAATTTACACTCCCACCAACAGTGTAAAAGTGTTCCTATTTCTCCACATCCTCTCCAGCATCTATTGTCTCCTGATTTTTTAATGATCGCCATTCTAACTGGCGTGAGATGGTATCTCAATGTAGTTTTGATTTGCATTTCTCTAATGACCAGTGATGATGAGCATTTTTCATATGTTTGTTGGCCTCATGTATGTCTTCTTTTGTAAAGTATCTGTTCATATCCTTCACCCACTTTTGAATGGGCTTGTTTGTTTTTTTCTTGTAAATCTGTTTTAGTTCTTTGTAGATTCTGGATATCAGCCCTTTGTCAGATGAGTAGACTGCAAAATTTTTTCCCATTCTGTTGGATGCCGATTCACTCTAATGACTGTTTCTTTTGCCGTGCAGAAGCCGTGGAGTTTGATTAGGTCCCATTTGTCTATTTTGGCTTTTGTTGCCAATGCTTTTGGTGTTTTGGTCATGAAGTCCTTGCCTACGCCTATGTCCTGAATGGTTTTGCCTAGATTTTCTTCTAGAGTTTTTATGGTGTTAGGTCTTATGTTTAAGTCTTTAATCCATCTGGAGTTAATTTTATTGTAAAGTGTCAGGAAGGAGTCCAGTTTCTGCTTTCTGCACATGGCTAGCCAGTTTTCCCAACACCATTTATTAAACAGGGACTCCTTTCCCCATTGCTTGTTTTTGTGAGGTTTGTCAAAGATTGGATGGTTGTAGATGTGTTGTGTTGCCTCCAAGGCCTCTGTTCTGTTCCATTGATCTATATCTCTGTTTTGGTACCAGTACCACACTGTTTTGATTACTGTAGCCTTGTAGTATAGTTTGAAGTCCAGTAGTGTGATGCCTCCAGCTTTGTTCTTTTTGCTTAGAACTGACTTGGCTATTTGGGCTCTCTTTAAGTTCCATATGAAGTTTAAGATGGTTTTTTCCAGCTCCATAAAGAAGGTCATTGGTAGCTTGATGGGGATAGTGTTGAATCTGTAAATTACTTTGGGCAGTAATGCCATTTTCATGATAGTGATTCTTCCTAACCATGAACATGGAATGTTTCTCCATCTGTTTGTGTCCTCTCTTATTTTGTTGAGCAGTGGTTTGTAGTTCTCCTTGAAGAAGTTCTTTATGTTTCTGGTTAGTTGTATTCCTAGGTATTTTATTCTCTTTGTAGCAATTGTGAATGGGAGTTTGCTCATGATTTGGCTCTCTGTTAGTCGGTTATTGATGTATAGGAATGCTTGTAATTTTTGCACATTGATTTTGTAACCTGAGACTTTGCTGAAGTCGCTTATCAGTTTCAGGAGATTTTGGGCTGAGATGATGGGGTCTTCTAGATATACAATCATGTTGTCTGTAAATAGAGACAATTTGACTTCCTCCTTTCCTATTTGAATACCCTTTATTTCTTTTTCTTGCCTGATTGCTCTGGCTAGAACTTCCAATACTATATTGAATAGGACTGGTGAGAGAGGACATCCTTGTCTAGTGCAAGATTTCAAAGGGAATGCTTCCAGTTTTTGCCCATTCAGTATGATATTGGCTGTTGGTTTGTCATTATTTTGAGATACGTTCCATCAATACCTAGTTCATTGAGGGTTTTTAGCATAAAGGGTTGTTGAATTTTGTCAAAGGCCTTCTCTGCATCAATTGAGATAATCATGTAGTTTTTGTCTTTGGTTCTGTTTATGTGGTGAATTATGTTTATAGACTTGCATATGTTGAACCAGCCTTGCATCCCCGGGGCGAAGCCTACTTGATCATGGTGGATAAGCTTTTTGATGTGCTGTTGCAATCGGTTTGCCAGTATTTTATTGAAGATTTTTGCATCGAAGTTCATCATGGATATTGGCCTGAAGTTTTCTTTTCTTGCTGAGTCTCTGCCAGATTTTGGTATCAGGATGATGTTGGTCTCATAAAATGATTTGGGAAGGATTCCCTCTTTTTGGATTATTTGGAATAGTTTCAGAAGGAATGGTACCAGCTCCTCTTTGTATGTCTGGTAGAATTCAGCTGTGAGCCCATCTGAACCTGGGCTTTTTTTGGTTGGTAGGCTCTTAATTGCTGCCTCAACTTCAGACCTTGTTATTAGTCTATTCAGGGTTTTGACTTCTTCCTGGTTTAGGCTTGGGAGAATGCAAGTGTCCAGGAATTTATCCATTTCTTCCAGGTTTACTAGTTTATGTGCATAGAGTTGTTTGTAATAATCTCTGATGATGGTTTGTGTTTCTGTGGAATCTGTGGTGATATCCCCTTTACCGTTTTTTATTGCATCTATTTGATTATTCTCTCTTTTCTTTTTTATTAATATGGCTAGTGGTCTGTCTATTTTGTTGATCTTTTCGAAAAACCAGCTCCTGGATTTATTGATTTTTTGAAGGGGTTTTATGTCTCTATCTCCTTTAGTTCTTCTCTGATCTTAGTTATTTCTTGTTGTCTGCTAGCTTTTGAGTTTTTTTGGTCATGCTCCTCTAGCTCAATTTTGGTGATAGGGTGTCGATTTTAGATCTCTCCTTGCTTCTCATGTGGGCATTTATTGCTATATATTTTCCCCTAGAGACTGCTTTAAATGTGTCCCAGAGATTCTGGTACGTTGTGTCTTCATTTTCATTGGTTTTGAAGAACATCTTTATTTCTGCCTTCATTTCATTGTTTATCCAGTCAACATTCAGGAGCCAGTTGTTCAGTTTCCATGAAGATGTGCGGTTCTGAGTTAGTTTCTGAATTCTGAGTTCTAACTTGATTGCACTGTGGTCTGAGAGACTGTTATGATTTCCGTTCTTTTGCATTTGCTGAGGAGTGATTTACTTCCAATTATGTGGTCAATTTTAGAGTAGGTGTGATGTGGTGCTGAGAAGAATGTATATTCTGTGGCTTTGGGGTGGAGAGTTCTGTAAATGCCTATTAGGTTTGCTTGGTCCAGGCCTGCATCCAAGTCCTGGATATCCTTGTTAATTTTCTGTCTCATTGATTTGTGTAATATTGACAATGGGGCGTTAAAGTCTCCCACAGGTACGTTTAAGTCTGCTGCAGCAGAACTCATAGACCCCTTTTTTAAACTTTTTTTCCCAGGTGCTCTGTCCCAGGGACTTATGGCTTATTTGAGTTTCTGTTGTGCTGCTGCCTTTTTTCAGGGCTGCCCTGCCCAGCAAGGAGGCAGCCTAGTCACTGTCTGCTTGCAGAGGCTTTGCTGAGCTGCTGTGGGCTCTGCCCAGCTGCCACGTGAACTTCCCTGTAGTCCTGTTTATACAGATGTAGTTAGAACTGCCTCAGCAATGGTGGCCCACCTCTATAATGGTGGGCTCTCTCTGTAATGGCGGGCGGGCTGCCTCAGCTATGGCAAACTACCTCTGTAGTGGTGGACTGCTTCGGTAATGGTGGATGCCCCTCCCCCACAGAGCTGGACCATCTTGGGTTCAGCTGTGCTTGCTGTGAAACTCTCAATCCACAGCGTCTCAGATTGCTGTTTATTTGTGGGGGTGGGACCAGCCGAGCCTGATCACCTGGTTCCCTGCCTCAGAGCGCCCCCCCTTTTTTTTTTAGTTGAACGGTGACTCTGTCTACCAAGTGTTCCAGTCGCCTGTTGAAAAGGTGCCAGGATCTGTGTGATTTCCTGTGTGGCGACTCACTGAGCCGGCTGAAACAGCCATGCTGAGATTCATGGCGCTTTTTTGCCCAGGAATCTCCTGGCTTGGCTCCCTGTTTCAGTTCCCTTTTTAATCAGTTGAATGGGTGACTCTGTCTGCCAGGAGCTCCAATCACCAGCTAAAATGGCGCCCAGACCCGTGTATTTTGTGCGGAGAACCGCCAGCAAAACAGCTGCACCGGCCAAATAGCAGCACTGGCAACCCATGGGGCTCCTCCGCCTGGGAATCTCCTGGTCTGTGGGCAATGAAAATCTGTCTGGAAATGTGGCATCCACTCACCCTCCACGATTTCGCTGGGAGCTGCAATCCTGAGGTGCTCCTAATCGGCCATCTTGGATCCCTCCTCATCTTAAGTTTAATTTTTTAAATTTAGAATTTAAAAACCTATTAGGGTAGCTCACAGAACCCTGGGGTGAGCTGGGTGTGGTGGCTTGCACCTGTAGTACCAGCTACTCAGAAAGCTGAGAATCGGTTGAGCCCAGGAGTTTGAGATCAACCTGAGCAATGTAACAAGACCCTATCTTTAAGAAAAAAAAACTCTGTCATGGATCAGACATTCAATAGTGAAGAAAATTAAAAAAAAAAAAAAAAGAAAATTCAAACTGTCTCTAGGGGTTCCTTCTGTGAAGCCCCATGGCTACTGCTGCTAGGCATGGGAGTCAAAACCTCTGTCACCTCTGCCCCTGACAGCCAGATGCCATCACTGCCACCCTGATCATAGAGTTCCTCATTGGACACTTACTACTCGTGTTGCTTTCTTCTGAGTCCAGGTGACTGTGTCCTGTTTAATTTAGCTTTGAAGTTATACACTCTAATTTTTCTTTTAGTGATTGTGCTAAGCTTACATCCTTGACTTGCCAAATTAATTATCCTAATCCCCTCTCCCTTGACAATGGAAAGAGCTTAAGACATGGTAACCCTATTTACATCTTTTTTTAACTTATATGTCAGAGTTATCATATATTTTATTTTATATTATGTTTTTGAGACAGGGTCTTACTCTGTTGCCCAGGCTGGAGTGCAGTGGCACAATCATGGTTCACTGAAGCCTGGACTTCCTGAGCTCAAGCAGTCCTCCCTCCTCAGCCTCCTGAGTAGCTGGGACTATAGGTGTGTGCTACTGTGCCTGGCTAATTTTATTTTATTATTTTTAGTAGAGACGGTGTCTTACTATGTCACCCAGGCTGGTCTCGAACTCCTGGCCTCAAGCAATCGCCCTACCTTGGCCTCCCAAAGTACTGGGATTACAGGTGTGACAGGTATTTTAATTCTATGTTTATTTGTTTGTTTATTTATTTATTTGTGTTTTGAGACAGGCTCTTGCTCTGTCACCATACAGGCTGGAATGCAGTGGTGCAGTCTTAGCTCACTGCAACCTCCGCCTCCCTGGTTCAGGTGATTCTTCTGCTTCAGCCTTCCCAGTAGCTGGGATTACAGGCATGTGCCACCACTCCCAGTTAATTTTTGTGTTTTTGGTAGAGACAGGGTTACGTCATGTGTCTAGTTACTGGTGCGAGGCTCACTTGAGCCTAGAAGGTCAAGGCCGCAGTGAGTTATGATCGTGCCACTGAGCTCCTGCTGGGAGACAGAATGAGACTGTCTCAAAAAAAAAATTTTGTAAGTGAAAAGTTTTCACATACAAAATATGTGGGTCCAGCGTGGTGGCTCATGCCCGTAATCCTAGCACTTTCAGAGGCCAAGGCGAGTGAATCACTTGAGGTCAGGAGTTTGAGACCAGCCTGGGCAATGTGGCAAAATCCCATCTCTAGTAAAAATGCAAAAATTAGCTGGGTGTGGTGGTGCACGCCTGTAATTCCAGCTACTGGGGAGGCTGGGGCAGGAGAACCACTTGAATCCGGGAGGCAGAGGTTGCGGTGACCTGAGATCACACCACTGCACTCCAGCTTGGGTGACAGAGTCAGACTGGTCTCAAAATAAATAAATAAATAAATAAATAAATAAATAAGAGTAAAATATTACAAGTAAACTTGTAAAAAAAAAAAACTTCATTGATTATCCTATCATAAAGCACTGTTTAAATTTGGAGATATTTATTCAAATTTATGGTTTAGAGCCCTCAGGTCAGAGGGCCGAGGATGGGTACACTGAGGCGTATAAAACACTCGGTGACTGGAACATCAGAGTGACGGCTTAGTCAATGGTACTGGTTACCCTTTTACAAAAATGTTTTAGTTGGGGTTTTGCTATGTTGCCCAGGCTGGTCTCAAACTCCTGGCCTCAAGTGATCTTCCTGTCTAGGTGGGATTACAGGTGTGAGTCACCACACCCAGCTCGATTGCCTTTATTTATTTATTTAGAGACAGGGTTTTGTTCTGTCACCCAGGCTGGAGTGCAGTGTCGCAATCATGGCTCTCTATAGCCTCGAACTTCTGGGCTCCAGTGATCCTCCTGCCTCAGGCTTCTGAGTAGCTGGGACCACAGGTGTAAGCCACCATGTCCAGTTTGGCTTTATTGTTTTTATTTTAATTAATTAATTCACTTATTTATTTTGAGATGGAGTCTCCTGTTGCCCAGGCTGGAGTGCAGTCACAGGATCTCGACTCACTGCAACCTCCACTTCCTGGGTTCAAGTGATCCTCCCACCTCAGCCTTCTGAGTAGCTGGGACTACAGGCGCATGCCACCACATCTAGCTAATTTTTGTATTTTTTGCAGAGATGGGGTTTCGACATGTCGCCCAGGCTAGTCTTGAATTCCTGGACTCAAGCGATTTACCTGCCTCAGCTGCCCAAGGTACTAAGATTACAGGTGCAAGCCACTGTGCCCTGCCACTTACATTTTCTTGATTGAGATATTTTTCAATGTTTTTAATATTAGCTCTCTGTATAGTCTGTTAAATGTTTATGTCCTTTGTTCATTTGTTGGGATGTTAGCATTTTTAACCACTTTATGTAACTTTATTGTGTAATAAATATATTAACTCTTTGTATATTATATTTGCTGTAAAATGTCTTTCCTTTATGTTTGTGGTCTACAGCTTTTTCATATAAAAGTTATAATTATTTCATGCGGTCAAGTCTTTCAATTGCTTTCTGACTTTTTTCTCCTGTATAAGCTTAAAAAGTTACCCTCTTCCAGAGTTTTACTGACTACTCATTCTATTTGTTTTCATTTTCTAACACCGAATTTTAATATTCAACTCTTTAATTTGGCTGAAACTTATTTTGGTGTATATCTTTTTTTTTTTTTTTGAGACGGAGTTTCACTCTTGCTACCCAGGCTGGAGTGCAATGGTGCGATCTCGGCTCACCGCAACCTCCACCTCCTGGGTTCAGGCAATTCTCCTGCCTCAGCCTCCTGAGTAGCTGGGATTACAGGCACGTGCCACCATGCCCAGCTAATTTTTTGTATTTTTAGTAGAGACGGAGTTTCACCATGTTGACCAGGATGGTCTCGATCTCTTGACCTCGTGATCCACCCGCCTCGGCCTCCCAAAGTGCTGGGATTACAGGCTTGAGCCACCGCGCCCTGCCTGGTGTATATCTTTTTTTATTTTGAAACAGAGTCTCACTCTGTTGCCCAGGCTGGAGTGCAATGGTGCGATCCTGGCTCACTGCAACCTCCACCTCCCAGGTTCAAGTGATTCTCCTGCCTCAGCCTCCCGAGTAGCTGGAATTACATGTATGCACCGCCATGCCCAGATTGTTTTTGTATTTTTTTTTTTTTAGTAGAGATGGGGTTTCACCATGTTGGCCAGGCTGGTTTTGAACTCCTGGTCTCAGATAATCTGCCCGCCTTGGCCTCCCAAAATGCTGGGATTACAGGCATGAGCCACAGCACCAGGCCTAATGTATATCTTAACTGTTTTAGCTGGAGAATAGATTAATGTGGGAAAAGGCTATTCATCTTTCATTTACTCTTTTTTCCTCTAGAATTTCCTGTAATTTTCTGTTTATTGCTCTAAATGAACAGTCACTTTATAAAGGTCCAGAAAAATCATTGTGTGGAGTCTCATTTGGTATTAAGCCTACACATTAATTTGGAGAAAACTGACGCCATTAAAATATTTAATTCTTTCATTCAAGAACATTTCTCTCTGTTTATTCACGTCTTTTATATTCTCAAGGCAGCTTTGCCCTTTTTTCCTATCTATCTCATGGATTTTGTTAGTTTGAAAAAACTTGTTGCACTTGAGAATGGCATCCTTTCCTCATTAAATTTTCTAACTTTACTGTGAATATATAAGAATACTATTGATTTCTGGGTGTTCTTGTACTTGCTCTTATTTATTTATTTATTTGTATTTATTGAGACAGGGTCTCGCTCTGTCACCCAGGCTGGAGTACAGTGGCGCAATCTCAGCTCATTGAAACCTCCACCTCCGGGGCTCAATTGATTTTTCTGTCTCAGCCTCCCTAGTACCTGCTCTGTAATGCAAATGGTTGTCTAGTTGTCCTTTTTTGTGTTGCAAGGTATACAATGATACTATTAGCAAATACGGACAATTTTGTGTCTCTCCCAACAGTTATACTTTGTTCTGCCATTGAGAAATGCTTTAAGAGCAATAGTAGCCCTTTGGGAGTCTGAGACTGGCAGATCGCTTGAACCCAGGAGTTTGAGACCAGCCTGGGCAACATGGCAGAACCTCATCTCTATAAAAACAAAATACAAAAATTAGCCAGGCATGGTAGTGCCTGTAGTCTCAGCTACATGGGGTGATGAGGTGGGAGGATCCCTTCAGCCCAAGTTTCAGGCTGCAGTGAGCTGTGATCATACCACTGCACTGCAGCCTGGGTGACAGAGTAGGACCCTAAAAAAATAAGTAATAAATAAAAGCAATAGTAAATAATTATGATGGAGGAGTTTATGTTATGTAATAAAACAGAGTGTTATAAACT